GATGTTGTACTGACCGTAACGCCCGCGAGTCGGAGATGTTGTACTGACCGTAACGCCCGCGAGTCGGAGATGTTGTACTGACCGTAACGCCCGCGAGTCGGAGATGTTGCACTGACCGCAACGCCTGCGAGTCGGAGATGTTGCACTGACCGTAACGCCTGCGAGTCGGAGATGTTGCACTGACCGCAACGCCTGCGAGTCGGAGATGTTGCACTGACCGTAACGCCTGCGAGTCGGAGATGTTTTACTGACCATAACGCCCGCGAGTCGGAGATGTTGCACTGACCGCAACGCCTGCGAGTCGGAGATGTTGCACTGACCGTAACGCCTGCGAGTCGGAGATGTTGCACTGACCGCAACGCCTGCGAGTCGGAGATGTTTTACTGACCATAACGCCCGCGAGTCGGAGATGTTGTACTGACCGTAACGCCTGCGAGTCGGAGATGTTGCACTGACCGCAACGCCTGCGAGTCGGAGATGTTGCACTGACCGTAACGCCTGCGAGTCGGAGATGTTTTACTGACCATAACGCCCGCGAGTCGGAGATGTTGTACTGACCGTAACGCCCGCGAGTCGGAGATGTTGCACTGACCGTAACGCCCGCGAGTCGGAGATGTTGTACTGACCGTAACGCCTGCGAGTCGGAGATGTTGCACTGACCGTAACGCCTGCGAGTCGGAGATGTTTTACTGACCATAACGCCCGCGAGTCGGAGATGTTGTACTGACCGTAACGCCCGCGAGTCGGAGATGTTGCACTGACCGTAACGCCCGCGAGTCGGAGATGTTGTACTGACCGTAACGCCCGCGAGTCGGAGATGTTGTACTGACCGTAACGCCTGCGAGTCGGAGATGTTGCACTGACCGCAACGCCTGCGAGTCGGAGATGTTGCACTGACCGTAACGCCTGCGAGTCGGAGATGTTCTACTGACCGTAACGCCCGCGAGTCGGAGATGTTGTACTGACCGTAACGCCCGCGAGTCGGAGATGTTGTACTGACCGTAACGCCCGCGAGTCGGAGATGTTGTACTGACCGTAACGCCCGCGAGTCGGAGATGTTGCACTGACCGCAACGCCTGCGAGTCGGAGATGTTGCACTGACCGTAACGCCTGCGAGTCGGAGATGTTTTACTGACCATAACGCCCGCGAGTCGGAGATGTTGTACTGACCGCAACGCCTGCGAGTCGGAGATGTTTTACTGACCATAACGCCCGCGAGTCGGAGATGTTGCACTGACCGCAACGCCTGCGAGTCGGAGATGTTGCACTGACCGTAACGCCTGCGAGTCGGAGATGTTGCACTGACCGCAACGCCTGCGAGTCGGAGATGTTTTACTGACCATAACGCCCGCGAGTCGGAGATGTTGTACTGACCGTAACGCCTGCGAGTCGGAGATGTTGCACTGACCGCAACGCCTGCGAGTCGGAGATGTTGCACTGACCGTAACGCCTGCGAGTCGGAGATGTTTTACTGACCATAACGCCCGCGAGTCGGAGATGTTGTACTGACCGTAACGCCCGCGAGTCGGAGATGTTGCACTGACCGTAACGCCCGCGAGTCGGAGATGTTGTACTGACCGTAACGCCCGCGAGTCGGAGATGTTGTACTGAGCGTAACGCCCGCGAGTCGGAGATGTTTTACTGACCGTAACGCCCGCGAGTCGGAGATGTTGTACTGACCGTAACGCCCGCGAGTCGGAGATGTTGTACTGACCGCAACGCCTGCGAGTCGGAGATGTTGCACTGACCGCAACGCCTGCGAGTCGGAGATGTTGCACTGACCGTAACGCCTGCGAGTCGGAGATGTTTTACTGACCATAACGCCCGCGAGTCGGAGATGTTGTACTGACCGTAACGCCCGTGAGTCGGACATGTTGTACTGACCGTAACGCCTGCGAGTCGGACATGTTGTACTGACCGTAACGCCTGCGAGTCGGAGATGTTTTACTGACCATAACGCCCGCGAGTCGGAGATGTTGTACTGACCGTAACGCCCGCGAGTCGGAGATGTTGTACTGACCGTAACGCCCGCGAGTCGGAGATGTTGTACTGACCGTAACGCCCGTGAGTCGGACATGTTGTACTGACCGTAACGCCTGCGAGTCGGACATGTTGTACTGACCGTAACGCCCGCGAGTCGGATATGTTGTACTGACCGTAACGCCCGCGAGTCGGAGATGTTCTACTGACCGTAACGCCCGCGAGTCGGACATGTTGTACTGACCGTAACGCCCGCGAGTCGGACATGTTGTACTGACCGTAACGCCCGCGAGTCGGACATGTTGTACTGACCGTAACGCCTGCGAGTCGGAGATGTTGTACTGACCGTAACGCCTGCGAGTCGGATATGTTGTACTGACCGTAACGCCTGCGAGTCGGATATGTTGTACTGACCGTAACGCCCGCGAGTCGGACATGTTGTACTGACCGTAACGCCCGCGAGTCGGATATGTTGTACTGACTGTAACGCCCGCGAGTCGGAGATGTTTTACAGACCGTAACGCCCGCGAGTCGGAGATGTTTTACAGACCGTAACGCCCGCGAGTCGGAGATGTTTTACTGACCGTAACGCCCGCGAGTCGGAGATGTTGTACTGACCGTAACGCCCGCGAGTCGGAGATGTTTTACTGACCGTAACGCCTGCGAGTCGGACATGTTGTACTGACCGTAACGCCCGTGAGTCGGACATGTTGTACTGACCGTAACGCCTGCGAGTCGGACATGTTGTACTGACCGTAACGCCCGCGAGTCGGATATGTTGTACTGACCGTAACGCCCGCGAGTCGGAGATGTTTTACTGACCGTAACGCCCGTGAGTCGGACATGTTGTACTGACCGTAACGCCCGCGAGTCGGAGATGTTGTACTGACCGTAACGCCCGTGAGTCGGACATGTTGTACTGACCGTAACGCCCGCGAGTCGGACATGTTGTACTGACCGTAACGCCCGTGAGTCGGACATGTTGTACTGACCGTAACGCCCGCGAGTCGGATATGTTCTACGGACCGTAACGCCCGCGAGTCGGACATGTTGTACTGACCGTAACGTCCGCGAGTCGGAGATGTTCTACTGACCGTAACGTCCGCGAGTCGGAGATGTTCTACTGACCGTAACGTCCGCGAGTCGGACATGTTCTACTGACCGTAACGTCCGCGAGTCGGACATGTTCTACTGACCGTAACGTCCGCGAGTCGGAGATGTTCTACTGACCGTAACGCCCGCGAGTCGGAGATGTTGCACTGACCGTAACGCCCGCGAGTCGGAGATGTTCTACTGACCGTAACGCCCGCGAGTCGGAGATGTTCTACTGACCGTAACGCCCGCGAGTCGGAGATGTTCTACTGACCGTAACGCCCGCGAGTCGGAGATGTTTTACTGACCGTAACGCCCGTGAGTCGGAGATGTTGTACTGACCATAACGCCCGCGAGTCGGAGATGTTGTACTGACCGTAACGCCCGCGAGTCGGAGATGTTCTACTGACCGTAACGTCCGCGAGTCGGAGATGTTCTACTGACCGTAACGCCCGCGAGTCGGAGATGTTCTACTGACCGTAACGCCCGCGAGTCGGAGATGTTGCACTGACCGTAACGCCCGCGAGTCGGAGATGTTCTACTGACCGTAACGTCCGCGAGTCGGAGATGTTCTACTGACCGTAACGCCCGTGAGTCGGACATGTTGCTCTGACCGTAACGCCCGCGAGTCGGAGATGTTCTACTGACCGTAACGTCCGCGAGTCGGAGATGTTCTACTGACCGTAACGTCCGCGAGTCGGACATGTTGTACTGACCGTAACGCCCGTGAGTCGGAGATGTTGTACTGACCGTAACGCCCGCGAGTCGGACATGTTGCTCTGACCGTAACGCCCGTGAGTCGGAGATGTTCTACTGACCGTAACGCCCGCGAGTCGGAGATGTTCTACTGACCGTAACGCCCGCGAGTCGGAGATGTTCTACTGACCGTAACGTCCGCGAGTCGGAGATGTTCTACTGACCGTAACGCCCGCGAGTCGGAGATGTTGCACTGACCGTAACGCCCGCGAGTCGGAGATGTTGCACTGACCGTAACGCCCGCGAGTCGGAGATGTTGCACTGACCGTAACGCCCGCGAGTCGGAGATGTTCTACTGACCGTAACGTCCGCGAGTCGGAGATGTTCTACTGACCGTAACGCCCGTGAGTCGGAGATGTTCTACTGACCGTAACGCCCGTGAGTCGGACATGTTGCTCTGACCGTAACGCCCGCGAGTCGGACATGTTGCTCTGACCGTAACGCCCGTGAGTCGGAGATGTTGCACTGACTGTAACGCCCGCGAGTCGGAGATGTTCTACTGACCGTAACGTCCGCGAGTCGGAGATGTTCTACTGACCGTAACGCCCGTGAGTCGGAGATGTTCTACTGACCGTAACGCCCGTGAGTCGGAGATGTTGCTCTGACCGTAACGCCCGCGAGTCGGAGATGTTCTACTTAACCCAACCTTTGGAATAATAATGTACAATATGTGAAAAATGGTTTGCAAAATGATACAAAACTTCTACTGTGGTGTGTGTCGGGGCCTGATAGCAGCATGTTTTATCTCAAAAACTGGCTTATTGATATTAATAAACACCTGGTATATTGATGACTTGATTAGGCTGGTGTGTGTGTGTGATAGAGAGAGTGAGAGTGAGTGTGTGTTATAAGACCAGGTCAAATATTGAGCAGCATCACAGATCTCAGCGACTCATGCTTCTATGGAAAAATCCTTTGGATGCAGTTATAGTGACTTCACAGAAATCTACGAACAATTAAAAACTACCAGATGAACAAATGTGTGAAGCAGAAGATTCACATCTGGAGCACAATACTCACGATCAATAGCAGCTGCGTGTGGGCTGCAGGTTTCCATGGCAACACACACTCTCACCAATCAGAGGCGAGAGATCGACGCCCACCGCGACACACATGAACATCTGAAATAGCTTCATAAACTCTCACACATGGAAAAACACACAACACAAAGATTTCCTTCATAAACTATATTTCCATAATTATTTATTTTACAATTTTGATCAACAAAAGTGTTTTTATTTTTCCAGAAAGAGGGAAAAAGGCTCAAGTTTCCAGTAAGATGTGTCTTAGACACTCACCCACCCACCCACGTTAAACGCTCTATAATACATCCACCACGACATTCAAACAAGCATCAAGAGGAAAACAAGTGAGAAGAGCTGAGGAGAGTGTTGGAAGTTCATACGCTCCATCAAAGACTCAGGAAAGGCAGAGATTATTCTAAAAAAAGCACACGTATAAATTATCCCGTCACCCAAACGACAGACACACACACACCAGCACGTCACAAACATTGCTGAGCACGACACACATCTGCACCGTACAAGCAAACTGCCTTCGTCAAGCAGAGATTTGGCTCATATTTTCATAGATCAGAAAAAGAGATTTTCTTAATGCAACTCCATCTTGAAAATGTTTTTAAAAACACACAGAACCCGGCAGAATCAGAAGAGAAGTGTGTCCTGAGGCGGGTATTGCATGAGGAGCTGATCAACAGGACGGTTCTCACCGAGTCGCTGGAGACCCGGTGCAGACCCGGAGAGCGCCACCTTCAGGCACTTAGTGTTTCTGTAGTTCACGTCTGTATGTGCATATCAAGCGATTCCAAACTACCCTGAGATCTGTGAAACACCGTTCAGTCTGTGTGTGTGTGTGTGTGTGTGTGAGAGAGTCTGAGTGTGAGAGTATAATTGTGTGTGTGTGTGTCTCCCCTCACTTACCATCAGTAGCCCTTAACCAGCAGTCATACAAGATCACAAAGACGGCACAAGCCCAGTGAGAATCTGCATGTATGAGAGTGTGTGTGTGCGTGTGTGTGTGTGTGTGCGTGCGTGTGCGTGTGTGTGTGTGTGTGTGTGTGTGCGTGTGCGTGTGCGTGTGCGTGTGTGCGTGTGCATGTTCAGTTGTCGACGCCCAGTTTAGAAATGCCCTGACGAACTTCGTGCAGCTCATCAATCTTCCCATCCAGAATGTCCATGAACTTCTTGAGTTCGGTCTTCATGTTCTTGTGTTTGTGCTGAGAGCCGTCCACCTCTCCCTGCAGCAGCTTCAGCTTCTCCCCCAGATCCTGGCTCTTCACTTCTGCAGCCTGTGAAACAGCAAACGCAACACACGCAGGAATAAAGACATGATGCGTGTTTCTTAAAATTCATTTGTTTGCATGAGTATTTCTAAATATGCATTTCCTTATGGGTGATGAGGCAAGGCAAGTTTATTTATAGAGCTCATTTGGTAATTCAAAGTGCTTTACACAGCAAGGAATTAAAACAATCAGAAAATAAACACAAGGAAAACTAAAACAGCTATAAACGGAATTAAAAGAGTAAAAAGAGGAAAGATTTGGTTCATTTGCTGCTATAGGAGAGGAAGAATTTTGCAAACTCGTTAATTCATCTAAATCAACAACTTGTATGCTAGACGCATGTTTGCTCGGCAAGACCGTTTTGTGTTTGAGCGCCCCCAAGTTGTGTTTTACTGTAACTTCAGAAGCTCAAGCGCCAATCTCATTGGTCGGATCATTTTTGACGCGGCGTGTCTAAACAAAAAAACTCACACAAAAATCTCTGCAAAAGATGCGATCCATCAGGTTTGATAATGTAGTTTTTGTCCAAGTCAAGTCAATGGAGTTGGACAAAAACTACGATAAAAGCTGTTGGAAAGCATCTTTTGCAGAGATTTTTGCGTGAGTACAGCAAATTACACGCATTGAAATCATACATCGTTTTTAATCATCAACGAACACCACTAACCCTCTCACTTTTGAAAACGAATGTTTAGGGTGTTTTAAGGACATGTTTGTCTGTCTCTGAAGGCGACCCTAAAAGAGTCAAAAGGTCGAGACGGGACCCATCGCTAAACTATCTGTGTCCACCACTGTAGTTCATCCTAAACAAACTAGAAAATAGACTCAAAGTGCTGAATACGGCAGTTCCCGTTCCCGTCAGCAACCAATCAGCTGCGCTACGTAGATAATGATGTGATTGTTAACGAGTTAAGGACCAATCAGTTTGAGGCAGGAACGCACGCGTGTGTGTGTGTGTGTGTGTGTGTGTGTTCACCTGTAGTTTGGCCGTGAGGTTCTCACACTCTGCCATGAGCTGAGGGATGGTTTCGGCCTGTTTGCACAGGTTCTCAAGCTCCTGAAAGACAGCATCATACGTGTGTGTAAGAGCACTCACGACACGATGGTGTGGCACGTGTGTGTGTGTGTGTGTGTGTGTGTGTGTGTGTGTGTGTTTGACTCACCTGTTGTTTGTCCTGCAGATCCGATTCCAGCTCTTGAATTCTGCGCGTCAGCTGAACATTTCTCTCTTTCTCCAGATTCAACTCTTTACACTGCAGCTCCAGCTCTGAGATCTGCGCACACACACACACACACACACACACACACACACATGAGTTACAGCTCTTCACACTTGAGCTAATAACCCAGTGCTCAATATTTCAGCTCAGTCAGTCACACATGACGAGCACAAACGCATACATCTCCTAAACCGGTTCTGGGAGACTGCGGTGAAGCTCGGCTGAGATTAACCCTGAGTGAGTGATGATCCTCCAGCGTCACACACGCGTCAGACCAGCTCTCAGTGTGTGTGTGTGTGTGTGTGTGTGTGTGTGTGTCTCACCTGGTTCCTCAGCTGGTTCTCCTCCTCCTGGCTCTGGGTCACTCGACTCCTCCAGTTCTCAGCGCTGATCCTCTCCTCCTCCAGCACCTCCTGCAGACGAGCGTTACTCTCCCTCAGCGCCTGCAGCTCCAGCTCACACTTCCTACTGACACACACACACACACACACACACACTCTCTGATCACTAAGTTCATGATTTCGTCTGCTCTTGAGAGTCTCTGACTGTCTGAGGCCCCGCCCACACTACTGCGTTTTCGTTTAAAAACGGAGACCTTTTGCTACGTTTGCACCTCCCGTCCAGACTAAAACGGGAAAAACGAAGACCTAAAACAGAGAAGTTTAGAACGCCGCGGCTCCGTAGTGAAGTTTAGTGAAGGCGGGACAAAACGGAGGACTTCTGAAACGCTGACGCAGGGGCTCACGCTCAGCTCTATGATTGGGTGTCATCAGTCATGACATTCCCTTCCCTGATTCGTCAATCACTGTTTACACCGGCACACGCATGCCCAGTGTTGGTGAATGGTCACGTGATCCGCGTTTCAGTCGTTTTAATGTGAACGGAGATCATTTCTAATACGCAGATAAAACGCTGGCGTGGACGGAGATCGTATTCGTTTTAATTCTCCGTTTTTAAACGAAAACGCAGTAGTGTGGACGGGGCCTAAGTGGATCAGCAATCAGTCGTGTGTGTGTGTGTGTGTGTGTGTGTGTGTGTCACCTCTGCTCCACCTCACTCTTCAGCGCCTCGTTCTCCGGGCTGATCGAGATCTTCTCATCATCGGTTCCGTTAAAGCTGGACGCCGGTTTCCCCGAAGGAGTTTCACGGCCCGATTCCTGACGAACGACACACAGGCGGAGGGTGAACACACTCTTAATGCACTTCCCGAAAAAACAATCCACAAACCACTCCTAATGTTCACAGAACAGCAAGAACACTGCGAACCAACAATCAACAAGAATCTAGTTTTTCAGCAGGAGTCTCAATAAACAAGCGTTTGGATTCTGGTGTGGATTCTCAAGCGTTTTTCTCTAATATCTGCGTTCGTTTTCACACAGATCTATAACTGTGGTCTCATAGATTACAGATAACTCAGGTCAGACTGGCTAAACCGACCGTCTCACGTCACTGAGGTCAGATAAACCCCATCACATAGACACTCTTTCACCAAGATATCATCACATAGAGACTGTGTCTGTTCGCTGATCTAGGAAAAACTAAAAACTCCTAAACCCATCTAAGGGTAAAAATTGTATTGATTTTCAACAAATAAAAAACAGATCTAATGAGCAAATGATGAAGCTTGGGTTGCTGAATTCAATCCCTCACTTCAAAAGCACTTATTGTTAATGATATGATTACAGATTATAACCTAGATGTGCAGTGTCTGACATACACCTGGCTAAAACCAGACGGCTGCTTTAAATGAGTCAAGACTACTGTTATAAACATGAACCTCCTCGGAAAGGCAGAGGTGTTGCTGTAATTTTTAGTAATATTTACAAAATTACTAAGAAGTCTTGTTTCAAAAATAATTATTTGAAGTGTTGCTGCTTAATGTAACACTATCTAGTGTAAATGATAAATCACGTTTGAGATTTGTGCTGGACACTGTATACAGGCCACCATACAGACTAAAGCAAAGAATTTGAGAAGGTCCTCACTGCAGAACACGAAATCCAGGGGGAGGAGTTAGATCCATATCAAACTCCTCCCACCTTACATATATCTGAACCTACCTATCTCTGCCCCCTGATTCCTAACCCCACCCCTAATCCTACCCATCTCCACCCCTTAGATCTGGATCCAACTCCGCCCCCTGGATCTTGTGCAATGAGGTGCTACTAAAGAATTTGCTGACTATCAGAGTTAGTCCTGGCTGCAGATAAAGTCCTAAATGTTGGTGATTTTATTATACATGTAGATAATGAAAAAGATCCATTGGAGTCAGAGAACACATGTCAGGACCCACTCATTCTCGTAATCATACTCTAGATCTACAGCAATATTATCACATGGGATAGATGTTGATGCCGTTGAAATACTGCAGCAGAGCGATGACATCTCAGATCATTATCTAGTCTCATGTAAACTTCACTTAGAAAAAGCAGTAAAGCCGACTCGTGTTATAAATATGTTAGACCTATAACTTCTGCCACTAAAGACTGCTGTATCAATAATCTTCCTAATCAGTTTCATCATCTCAGCATCCCGGATAGCTTAGAAGAACTCCATGTTGTGTCAAACTAAATTAGGTATTTCACATTTCATGGAAGGACAGCTCGATTGCTTACAGAGAGGCCTTAAAAACTGCTAGATCTGCTTATTTTTCAAACCTATTAGAAGAAAATAAACATAATCATAGGTATTTATATGAAACAGTGGCCAACAAAAAAGAAAGCTTCAAGCCCAGAAGTGTCCAAGCAACACAGCAGTAATGACTTTATAAGATTGATACTATCAGGGACAAAATTATAACTACTACAGTATCGCATCGGGGGGGTGTTGTCGTCTCCCTGAGGAAAGATTTGGTTCATTTGCTGCTATAGGAGAGGAAGAATTTTGCAAACTGGTAAATCAGCAACTTGTATGTTAGACCCTATACTGAGTAAACTACTGAAAGACCTGCTTCCAGAGGTCAGAGATCCTCTTCTGAATATCATTCATTCGTCTTTGTCGGTAGGATATGTACCAAAAAACTTTAAGCTGGCTATGATAAAACCACTTGTTAAAAAAACGCAACTTGATCATAAAAAAAAACACAACTTCATCTTCAAAGATATTAGAAAAAGCAGTATCCTCACAACCGTGTTCCTTTCTGGAAAGAAATGATATCTGCGAGGATTTTCCGTCCGGATTTAGACCGTACCACAGTACCGAGACAGCTCTCGTCAGAGTCACACATGATCTTCCTTTATCATCCGATCCGATCTGACGAAGAGCTTAGCCTGGCAGTGCTGAAGTGCCAACTAGCCTCTCCCTATGGAGGATCCCTTTCCCACTCCACAGATAAAGCGTTGTGAATTCGTTTCGCGTCCCTACCCCAAAGTGATTAAATAAAACAAAATTCTGTATGAAATTTATAGACAAGTAGTTTGTTCAGGCATGTAGGGATTTACAAACCTGCGCACATATATTCAAACGAGCAGAGCCCGTCTAAAGGAGAGCCTCGGCACTTCCTATTAGCCCCGTTGTGGATCATCCTGGTTGCAGTTCCATTATAATTCCACTGGGGGTGATCACGGGCGAGAGCAGAATGAATGGGAGTCTATGGGGCTAAACGGCTAAATGTGTCTCTTTCACCTGCTTGTCGTTAAATCAACATAGATTTTATTGTTGATTTCGCAAGTTCAATATAGATTATAGGCCAAAAGTCGAATGAACGAGTACTTTTGTCCTTTTGATTTCTTACAGGTTAGGCCGTTGTTGGCCGGATCACGCTAGCATTCTGCTATTGTGTGACGTCATCACAGTTATGAACGGATTTTTAGATCAGATAAGTGAACTTAAAAATGCAGTTTTCAGCTGAGTGTATTATCATAGCCCTCCCTTTTGAATGCAACTTTCAAATTACTTGACAAAAAATTACATCCTGAGAAAAGTGGATTTCTGGGGGTGAAACCCCATTGACTCCCATTCATTCTGCACTCGACCGCGAGCGCCCCCGCATGGACAGATGTGTTACTGCAGCCAGTCCACAACCCGGAAGTAACCAGCCAGTGCCAATTCTCTTCAATTAGACATTCTCTGGTACGAGCGACCCGCAGTGCATGATGGGTAATGATCACATGATGTACCTGCGACTGCTCACTCGACGTCTCCATCTTCTCCTGGGATTTTTCTCTGGCCATTTTTGCCGCTTCTTTGACCTCCAGAAACTTTTCAGCAAACTGAAGTCACAGGAAAAAAACACATTTTAACCAATGCTCTGTGTGTGTGTGTGTGTGTGTGTGTGTGTGTGTGTGTGTGACGTATAACCAGACCTTAGCCAGCTGTTGTTCGGAGGCGAATCCCAGTCCAAACACAGTGTTCGCTCGACTGTCAGCCCACTGGCCAAACTTCTGTGAGGTTTTAGTGAAGTTCATATTGGGGGTGATTGTGCTGTTGATGATGACCTGAAGAAACAAACACATTAGAACATTACAGCACACACACACACTCACATGCAGACGCTCACACAAACTCACTCACATACATCTTTGCGAGGACTCCTTATAGACGTGATGGTTTTTATACTGCACTAACTGTACTGTATATTGTATTTACACCTGTCATTTGGATGACTAATAATTTCCTACGACTCAATTCTGAAAAAAACTGAAGAGATTCTAATTATTGGCCAAAAAACTTCCTCACGTAATAACCGAGAATCCTGTCTAACACTCGATGGCTGCTCTGTCAAGTCTTAGTCGTCTGTTAGGAACCTGTGTGGGTGTGTGTGTGTGTGTGTGAGTGTGTGTTCTTAGATAGCAATCTATCATTGGAAAAATCACATTTCTCTCATCTGTAAAACCGCATTTTCATCTTAAAAATATATCTAAATTACAACATATGCTCTCATTGGCAAATGCGGAACAGTTAGTTAAGTCGTTCATGACATCAAGGCTAGATTACTGTAATGCTCTACTGGGTGGTTGACCTGCACGCTTAAAGTCCCTGTAAAGTCAAAATTAAGTATGTGTTCTGAGTCTGTCATACCACAGAAAGATGTGTAATTAGCCACCCAGCCAAATTTGAATGATAAAAAAAGCCGGCAAGTACATAAAATAAGCTATCAAAATCTTCAAAAAATGAGCAGTTATCTCTGTTCTCAAACGCTGGGGGCGTGTCCACTGACTGTGCTGAAACCACGCCCACTCGCGGGAAAGCTGTCGACGGTGATATTAGCTGATACTGCTTTCGGGACGGGAGGATGAACGCTGAGGCGGGAGATCGTCGTTTCGGCCCCGTTCACCAGTAACAGCGGATTATCAGTGAATCCCAGTTGTCTCTGAGGAAAGTTTATAAAACGATCCAGTGTAAAACGATCACTACAGAGGCGGGTGTTGGGGGTGATCCTCAGCTCTTCATCAAGGTTGGCTCTCTAAAAACCTCTTCTTGATGTGAATTTAAATGAAGACACCGATCTGTTTTGTACATGATCGCATTCAGGTAGTAGCCTATACATGCCCATTTCGTTTTAACTCCTACGGTGGCCAATGTAGTCCAAGATTAGCATGTCTTCCAGTTCGACCTCGTCCATGAGTGTTAACTCAAACGTAAATGCGAAAGGCGAAGCTTGAATTAACGGGTATGTCCCTCTTTGGCTAACGTACATTCAAGATGGAGGGGCAACATGGCGACCGACATTAGAACCCCTTACCCGTATGTATTTTCAATAGCATATTATACACTCACGAGAATACTTTATTACTTGAATGAAGTAAATATACATTAATGAGCACATATATTTTTGAAAGAACTAAGTGATTTTAGCTAAGAATAAACTCAAAGAGTTACACAGTGTAGTTTTAAAGGGGTGATGAACTGAGAAATCAAATTTTCCTTGAGCTTTTGATATCTAAGAGGTCATCATATTATAACAATATCCTGTAAGTTTCAGAACTGAAAACGTCCTTGTTAGTCCAATAAAAGCTTTTATTGACATCAGCCCTGACAAACAACTCGTTTTTAAAAGTGGGGAACTATGACGACAAAGGGGTTAAAGCCCCACCCCCGCAGAAGAAGATCAACGCCTACTTCAACACGGCCGGTTTAGCCCCGCCCACCGATTCACGCATTTACACGCATAGCTAAAGAACATAGCATAGCCTACCTCGTGATGACAAACCGGATCGAGCTACCGAGGAACAGGGAATATTGTGCAGCGCCTGGTTGTGGAAGAAGACAGTCGCTGCATACGCTTCCTCTGGACTCCAATAGGAACGCAAAACTTTATTTTTAATGACGTTCCAGCTGATGTAAAACAGTCTGTTCACTTCATTTCACTGAGGATTGTAAACAAGACAGGATTTGCAGACCGATTAAGAGTAAAGAGCGGTGCTGTGCCGTCTATATTGGTGCAACACACGGACTCTGGGTCCAACATGAATGGGCCAATTATTCCAGTTGCTATTTCACAACATTGGAGTTTTCAAAACAGTTTCCCCACGTACACCGACGAGGTGAGTTCAAACTCATTATAATGCAAAACTGTTGTCCACTCACAGCAGTGGGCGTTTACTTCCAGGTCTTCAGTGCGACACGCCCATAAAAATCCAGCGTTTCTGAGCTGGGATGAAAACTAGGGTAGAAAATAGCCTATTACTGATTCATTTTGATGTTTTTGAACGTACAAACCAAGCGAACGTCATAATTTCCCAGCCAGTTCATGACCCCTTTAATATACAAACTTCAGCTAGTCCAAAACACAGCCGCTCGAGTTCTTACCAGAACCGGGAAGTATGACCTCTGTGAAGCTGCTTTGATACGATCTGTATTGTAAAAAGCGCTATATGAATAAAGGTGACTTGACTTGACTGATTATGTGTGACTCTTGAAGCTGATCAGAGTAATGTGTGTGTGTTCAGTCAGCTGTTTAACCCGTGTGTGTGTGTGTGTGTGTGCTCTCAGAGAGTGACAGCAGCAGGTGTGTGTCTGGTACCAACACAGAAATGTGAATGTGAGTGAGTGACTGAGTGTGTGTGTGTGCTCTCAGAGAGTGACGGCAGCAGGTGTGTGTGAGACTCTCAGCAGGTGTGACATCACTGCCACCTCCATACTGAGGGACTGATCTAAATCTCCATGGCAACATGAACGAGAGGAACCAGAGGAAGACCCTCGGAGTGTGTGTGAGCGCTCGTACACTGACTCGATCCCACGCACACACACAAGCCTGTCTGACCTTTGACCCGTCCACGCTGATGATGCGGTAGCTGTTGCGTGTGCTGTCGTAGAAGTACGAGACAGTAACGGCTTGTTTGCTGCCGGGAACCCAGTTCTTCTTCGTCGAGGGATCGATCTGGAAGACATGAGCTCTGGTGGTGAAGATCGGCTGCTCCCTGTGGGAAACACACACACACACACACACAATCACTATCATCAACAACTTCAGATTCATCCGTTTTCCTCATGACTGTTCAAATATTTTACATTTTGCATTCACATGAGAACAAACCACACAATTTCTCTTTTCTGATTGGTTATTGTGGTATTAGGGGCGGATCTTGAGATCTGATCTAGACAGACACCCATACACACCCATAAACACCCAGAGGAACATAATAATAACACACAGTGGAACACCCATGAACATTCAGAAGAACACGCAAAGAACACGCAGAAGAACACGCAGAGGAGGAACACGCAGAGAAACACGCATGAACGTTTCACCAGACGAGCAGTGACACTCTCGAATATAACCTGCCAGTGACGAGGCACGTGTGTTTCACAGCGGTTTGTAAATCTCATATCAAAGCATCTAGAACATTCCCTGAATCTCAGAACAGGAATGTGGTTATACCTGCACACACACACACACACACACAGGAGCCACACCTGACCTCTGACAGCACTGAGCTGCTCTCTGATTGGAGCAGACTGTGGGAGGGGGCGGAGCTGTGATGGACACACACATTCCAGGAGGTCAAACTGCTCCGACACACACGAGCAGAAACACAGGAAACATGCATGACAGGAGACTCATCAACCAATCAGATCTCAGCGTTCGGATCTCCACACACCTCCGTCATCATGAACCGACACCGTTACTCACATTTACACAGCGACCAAAAACAGACAGACAGGAACACGATCAGGTCCGATTGCTAATCATGTTAACCTTCTAATCCTCAAACTAGCCATAAGCATCTACGCGTATTATTCACAGCTTGTGTATGGTCAGTATTTTGAGGATGGATTACTTGTTAAAATGAGCATCGGTCAGGAGGTTACACTCAACCGGGGTTAACCAGTGTTTACTCCACAAATATATATTGTTTTTACAGCATTAGATGGACAGCAGTTACACATCCGACCACCTTTTTA